GCTGGTGTAAATAGGCATAGATCTATGGACTTTTCTTAGAGGTCTGCTGAGTTACATTCGCTAAGGATCTGGCCCAGAATCTTTGTGGTTTACAGATATGATCAAATTACTCATTGCAAGTAACATTTGTTGTGAATATAGCTTTTTTTTTCCTGTTTGCAAATGGATCCTGGTTTTGCAGATATTTGTCATCCAAAAGTACCCATTGAATAGTTTATGCAAACAAATGTCAGTGTGGTTTGTTGCAAACAGTTTTCACAAACAGCCAGCAGCAGTCTGATTACTCATGAACATCTAATAACAATGAACTGAACTCCACTGTTTTAATTTGCCTTTAGGGTAACTGCTGTAAATGGTGTGTGCAAGTACCTTTATTTTTTTTTAAATTTAGGTTGATTTTTGTTTTCCTTTTTCCAAGTGTGGCAGGGCCCCATGAGTACCAAAGAGTTGCTGCTGCATATACAGTGTGACTTTTATACTGGTTTCTTCGGGCAGTCTTTTCATTACTTTTCCTAAGCAAGGGATTGCCACAAGGAAAGATGACATAAATTCACTGGGATTGAGTGGTGCTGGAACAATGTGTATAGTGGTGGTGTTGAGAGCCATTGAACCAAACTGTAAACTCTGTATATGATGGAAACCACTTCAAGCCAGGGCGTGTGGCAGCACCCCCAGCAGCCTTAGTTCCAACACCTATGATTCAAGAAGGATTTTTGCATCTATGTGGAGGATGAACCCTTTAGAACTGCAGTATAGAAGGATGGTGGAGGAGGATCCTTTCCAGTTCTCCGAATCCAGAATTCAGCTAGGAATGCAAAACTGCGTCCACTGGGATTCACGTTTGGTTAAAAACGCTATTATATTCCCAGCAAGCATAGTGGTCCCAGACAAGATGAGTCAACTATGGATTTTCTAGCTATTAACTGCCCTGTGCTGGCAAGGGTATCTGCTGATGCCGTCTGTATTACTTTGAAGTTTTTTGTCTGATTAATCCTAAAAGGAACCAGAGGAGGAACAGAGAAAGCCATTCTGCAATTCCAGGAACCAGGAGCTTTCTCTTTTGGGTTTTAATTTGCCTATGTCCTCTGCACTTTATTTCTGCACTACAAAATCCTGACCTGAGCAAGGGACCTTTCCTCCCAAAGTAGGGATTGAGTGGGAACTTTCCCCCCAGAGAAACTTTTCATGTAACAAAAGGCAGCGGGACGGTGTATAAGAGCTGGTTGCTTAGTTAAGACACGAGAGGCCGGCGTGCTATATTTCCCATCCATAATCCCTGCTAGTAATCCTAATCCATTTCAGATCTCTTGCCTTTTGTAAGTGTCACATGGGGAGGCTTTGAAAGCTTCTCAAAACAACTGTGCAGTAAATAAATCATAAGGTCTGTGCTCTCTTTGGGGACCAGCACATGTGCGTCATGCTGGACGTGCAAAAGGAAATGGGAATTTTCACAGAGTGGCGAAGGGGACGATATGCTTGGAGTAGCTTGTTCATCATTTTAAGGCCTCAGATGGGACTGTCCAACTAAATCATCTCGGAGACTCTTGATCATGTTGGGCATCAAAGGCTGATTATATATATATATATATGTGTGCAAACACGCACAAACAACAAACTACATTAAAAAAAAACAACCCAGAGAGCTTTGAAGTGTTTATCCAAATAAATCCTTCTTTAAACTAGAGAGTGGGGACAAGGTAAGTTTTCTATTTCTTCTTTCTTTGTAGCAGTGTCTTGTGTGGTAGGGTTATTAAATCCCTCCTGTGGAGGGAAGTGGACCTTGATAAAGTTCTTTCGCTATTGGCTGTGTGAGACGCAGTGTTTTCTAAGTGCAGTTCTCTTTGCCAACACCCCAGCTGCTGCTCGTGTGCAGATGACTGTGTTTATAAAACATAACAACCCTTATCAGCCTATGTCGGGATTCAATTTTACTGCAAACAGTGGAACACGTGTGTTTGCTATCAGGAGGTAAAGACAAGCTGTTGGGTCTTTAGTGTCGGTTACCTTTAATTTTTTCTTGTTGTTGGACTTTTATTTTAATCTTTTTTTTTCCTTGCAAAATCTTAATTTGTAGTTACTGGTGGTTTGTAGATGACATGGTAACATCTTCCTTTTTACAGCAGGCTTGGCCACGTTCCACAGATGTTCCCACTACTTAGTAATACAGTAGAATCCTGATTATTCCAACTCCCCCTTATCCTATCCATCCTATCCAGAGGTGCTGGAGCAATGTGTATAGTGGGGGTGCTGAGAGCCAACGAACCAAACTGTCAACCCTGCATATAATGGAAACCACTTCAAGCCAGGGCATGCAGCAGCACCCCTCGTTCCAGCATCTATGATGCTATCTAATGAGGTGCCAGTGTATGTCTATTCTGTTGACTCCGTCTGTTGAATTCTGATTATCTGAGCTCTCGATTATCCACGCATATCTGGAGTTGCCGAAGCAATTTAGATTCTATTGTATAAGCTCCCCATAATGTACGTCCTAGGTAGAATCTTTCTCAGCTGTGTTTCCACTTTGTAACAATGCATTTTGCTGCACCTAAACAACATAGTGTTTTCGCGTGGGATTCCTATAGCTATGGCGGCAAATTCTGTGCTGGTTTACATCCTGGACAATCTCAGGGAAGTTCATGTAGCTGCTCAGTGCAAAACTGAGTCCCATAAAGTTTTTATCAAGAATATTAATTCTTGGGTTGCCCGGGGAACTTTTAGCTCTGACTTGCAAGTTATTTCTTTTTTCTAAGACGTGCTCTGACTCAAACCTTGTTTTTTCTTCATCATTTGCCTTTTTAATATATGTATTCTGGGTGTTTAGAAAACTCAGTGATAAGAATCGTCACACCAAAACAAACTCGCAAATCTGCAAAGATTTATTGTAGTCTCAGTTTGCTACCTGACCCAACAGGGGAGTATATATGCTGCATTGGTAGGAGGTGTGGACTCTTGCAAGACTTGTCTATATTTAAGGGCAATGATTACAACACTGCTGAGCAGGGAAAGGGCACTGTGCATATGTGCTTGTTTTTTCACGAAGGCGTAACTTGTGCTGCTTTGCTGGCTGGCTCAACCTGACTGGCAACGCAGTTGTCATTCTTTGGTGCTTTTGTTCTTTCTTTGTCTCGTGTTTTTTCATCCGTTGGGCTCTGGTTTGAAGAGTAGGTGGGTGTTCTTGGTCACTGTGCAGTTTTTTATCACTGTTGCTTTGCTTTTTAATATCTGCTTATTAGGACGGTCTCCGTGCACTCAGACTGTGCATTTTGCATCCACTCCAGTCTCAGAAGGAATGGACAGGAACACCTTAGCTGTGTTAGCCTTCGGGACGACTCTGCTCGTTCTAGCTTTTTCTGTACCTGGAAGGGGTATGAGCTCATAGGCTGTGTCTGGGGTCTCCAAAACAAATGACCGGTTGAATGATGAAACAGGAATCCCACTGGCTTTGTTTTTTGATTGTTCCCCAGAGTGAGAGATTTCAAAATTTGGCTGATTCCTAAAATGTGTGCTGGCTGGGTGCTGTCTTGGCACCCTTGGCAATGGTGAGAATTAAAGAGAGTGGCTGGGATCCAAGCAGTTCATTGATGGTGTAATACCCCCAGAAGTAAAACCAGAAGGTGAAGAAAAGCGGTATTTATTTAACAAAGCTGATTATTTTCTTATGACAGCTAGTTGTTTATTTTAGACCTGTCACTACTCCAGCTGTGATATAGCAAATAGATTTAAATGCCATCCCTGTCCTTTAATTCCTCATCATTAGGGATATACCCTAGGGAGAGGGCATGCTTATGTGTGTGCAGACACAGACACGGATGTAGTGAATGAATGAATGAATGATGTAGTGCAGCCCCATTGTTATTTATTTTAATATGTCAGGTGTTTCTGACCTGGGACAGGTCCTGATGAAGGGAGGGGAGTGTAAGACACATACAAAGGCTTTGCTTGCTGACATGTTGTGCTTGCGGCTCGCTTTGCATCATTCTCAGGCTATGACACCCCCAAACTCCCAAAGAAAAGTCCCATGTATAATTTCATACGGTTGTCATCCCATATTTAGAAATGACTAAACTTGTTCAGTGCCAGGAGAATGCATTCCTTTAATTGCCCTCTTCTGACTAACTTTATTGTAGTTAACCTTTCAGTGGACTACCTGATCCGTCCCCTCCACTCCACCCCATGCATACACAGGAAATGCCTGCCTCCAGCTGTCTTCTCAGCCCACCTTTCCTGCTTCCAGGCTCCTCTCGGGCATCCTATCATTTATCTGCACCTCTACAAGCTCTGATTAGTGTGACCCTGCCATTCAGGCTGAATTTCTGAATGGACATTTGTAATATGCATTGTTTCCAGGTGAAAATGATCTAATTGCATGGCGTGTTTGTGATCCTGACTGGCCTGAGACGAAGCTATTTGGCCTGAATTTCTTAGGCAAATCATAAAATATGGTCTAGAGTGCATAAATATTTGTCTAACAACCTTTCACTTTTTATAAATCAAACCAAGGTTCAGACCAGTTAGTCTTGTGGGTTACCTACTCTTCAAACGTGGGAGCCTAAAGTTAGCCATCTACATCAATATGTTGATACCTAAATACTGTACCTGTTTTAGGCACATCATACAGACTTGGCTTGTAGGTACCGAACATTCTAAAACATCTCTGTTTAATTGAAAAACAAAATACCTTCAAAATTTCCTTCCCTATATCTGACCTGAAGCTTAGAACAATCAAACTGGAGAGCATGCCAAAAGAATCCATCCCAGGTTGTGTGCAGATGCACAGTATGTTGGGAAAATTAGATGTCAGGGTTATACTTGATAGACCACCTGTAAAGCTGTGGCTTCTGAACCTTACTGAGTATTAATATATTCAGGATTGTCTCCCAGCAGCTTGGGACACAGGGCACCCATCCTGATTCTGATTGAATGCTCTTTCCAGTGCTGCTTACTTGATTTTGATGATACTGTATTTATTTGCAACCCCATAGAAACATCGTTTGGAGATCATGGGATGTGGTAGTTCCACAAATGCCTACTACTTCCTGCGGAAATCGGAAAAAGGTGAGTGTCTCTCATAAAATATTTCAGTCTTTCCTGAAGTGGATTATAAAGGTCCTGCTAGAAAGTCACAAATATTCAGCATAGAGATGCATCAGCTGTATTGCCTGATGACATTGTGTGGCCCAGTTGTATAGTTGAGTGTCCCATAAAAAAAGACATTCAGTTCCCAAAGAAGATAATGGTAAATAGCTTTTAGCTGAGGCTGAGATTAAAGGCAGAGGCAAAGCTGTGAAGCAAAGCAAATCTGTTGCAGTTGTTGCCCACCTTAATTTGTCAGTTACTGGTAAACATGCATGTATTGTGCTCCCATGCTCTGATAGGAGAGCTGTGCTGGCATGAACACTACTTTCTACGGACTTTGAAACTGAAACCAAAACGAAGGCCGGTTTGTGCAGTGAGTTTGCCAAACCAAACTGGGATGATGGAGAATTAAGCGCTTTGGCTCTTTTAGAGGTTAGATTTTGTGGTTAAGCAGGTTGACAGTGTCTATTTTAAATTGTGTTAATGCAATGATCTTCTTGTCTCGTCACTTGTGATTGGGCTTGACAGAGTTCGATTTTTAGTTTTTCTAATTAAAATCGATCACGTCAATGTTTATTTTTGAGCTTCTTTTTTATTTTTCTCTATTTTAGTTTTCACAGATATAGTTTCATGATGCCAGCTATATGATGGCAATAATGTGTATTTGTAGCTCTAATATAGTATAAACTGTTTTTTTGTTTATTTTGGAAATAAATGAAATAAAAAATCAGTTTCTCAACAGAATGCATCAGTTATCTAAGGCTACATAACAGTATTGGAATCATTTTGAAAAAAATCAGTGTTTTGATTTTTTTTTTTTTTTAACTGAAACCATTCAGCAAAACAGACACAAATTATTGCAATGTTTTGGTGGCACCGAATCTGCATTTATCGCCCAAAAAAGTTTTTGGTCAAAAAACCTTGCCCAGCTGTAAATACAATAAGGCATCTAGATATTGATTACCATGGTACTTTAAGTTCAGTGAAGTCTGTATATATTGTTAACCATGTTCTGTATGTTCCTATGTGTTCCTCCACATTCCCAAGTAATCTCGGTAAATACAGCCAGTATCTTACATAAGTATGTTGTATGCAGTGTTGTTGTATCCATGTCAGTCCCAGGGTATGAGAGAGACAAGGTGGGTGAGGTAATATCTTTTATTGGAGCAACTTCTGTTGGTGAGAGAGACAAGCTTTAAAGCATGGCTCTCTCACCAATAAAAGATATTGCCTCACCCACCTTGTCTCTCTAATAAGTATTTTGTAAACATTAGGGTTAAAGAGCTCCATGTCACACAGGGTGCTCCTGGTAGCACAAACACAATAGATACCCTTGTATGTTCCATGTGCAGAGATACCCCTAACAGAGCATCTTAAACCTTTAACCAAGGCCCTGTCCACTATCCAGCCATGGTATTTGTTGCTGAGTCTATCACATACCCTAGAATCATGCTTCAGTATCTTTGTTTTAACTGTAATTGTTTCCAGCCCTTATGGTTGTGACAACCACTTTGAAAGGATAGCTGAGTGTACACCTGTTCAGTACTGTCTTCCTGAGTCCATAGACAACCTGAAATACTAGCTCTCAGTGGCGACAACGGCTTCAGTCATTTCAAATGCCTGTTAACTCTGAAACCTACAGATGACACTTTAAATAGAAACTTTACTAATTTCATTGCTGATCATTTTACCAGAAACATCCAGTTAATGTTTATTCCGCAATCCCAAACTGCATCCCCAGCTGCCAAAAGACTCACATGCCGTGTACCTGGCTGTCAAAATAATCAGCTTTCTCCTGCCGACTTCCCATGCAGCTGCGCTCGTCAGTTAAAAACGAGATCTGTGGCATACTGAAAACTAGAACATAAAATGGAATTTAATTTAAAATAAATAAAACCTAGGAGACTGGTCTGAGTGTAATATTCATTTTCAGATTTCATTCATTTAAAAACTGTCTGTTATTTAATGAGACTGTAACAGAATTTGTCTGCTACATCAGAGTACTACAGAACCAAAGGTGTTGCTGTGGGGTTCAGGCCCAGCTTGCTGCAGCATATACAGGGGCTTGTCTCTAACAGCTGAACGTAATCTTCAGCTTTTCTTCAGACGAGGAATCTGAGTTTTAAGCTATGCATGTGCAACTAAATATTGGATCTGTTATTTGGTCCAAATTGTCCCGTGTCCACAAAATCCATGTGGATTCCCTGCCTCTGCAGCTGCATTACTGGTTTTTCCTGGACCTTTCAGAGCTCTGTGGAGAAGGATTAGAGGCAGAGCCAGATGGACACATATCATCTTCCACCAGCCCCATGGCCATTCTGCGGGCAGTAACCCTGCATTCTGTGGAATCACCTGGGAATGTTTCTGGTGGAAGATATGGGCTGCAGAAACCCTGGCAGCATGATTCCATTAGACCCATGCTGCAGTGGAACCAGGAAGGGGACAGCCTGGACAGGGAGCCCAAGAAAGAGTGCAGAAGGCCAGGACTGCACACACATCTCAAAGGAGCCACTGGGACCAAGCCCCTGCCCACTTCCCAGCGAGGCGATCTCCGATCTCTCTGATGGAACGGTGGAGAGGAAGCTCCACAAGAGAAACTTCAAAAACGTCATTTCAACGTACTAGATCATTTCCCACTTCTAACCTCTGAGTCTCTAAGATGGGGAAAGCACCGCTATAAAACCAAAACCCCACAGCCTCCCCTTGTAGCTCTAGTGTGAAATTCCCACTTCTGATGCTGTTCTAATGAACAAGACGACCAGATCCTCAACTGGGGTAAATTGGTGTAGATTGAGGCCGTGGAGCTTTGCTGAGATAGCCAGATCCACAGCTGGTGTATCTAGAGTTCTTCACCAATTCCAGTTCCCATTTGAATACTTAATTTTCTTTTATTTGAAGGCCATTCCATTCACTTAATGTGGACAGGATTGGTTAGACTAATTTTCAGTGAGGAATCCAAGTGTCGTTTGAGTCTCCCTTTCCCTTCTTTTCAGGCTTGAGATCATTGCATAAACTGATCCAAAGCGCCCTGAAGTTAACGAAAGTCTTTCCTGGTAGACTTTGGATCAGGATCTAAGAGCAGAGATCTGCCTTTTTGAAGCTGGTTCTTTTTTAACCATTTGGGGCTTTCTCCATTTTTAATTCGTGTGAGAGTTTCCCGCTGCAGCCAGAGTCCCTGCATATGCCTGAGTAAAATGTAACCTCATTTGTTTTATTAATGCTACAACAGGCCACCAGGGAGCTGCCTTCTCTCTCACGTCCTACCTGCTGCTAGTCGGTTGCCTTGGCCTCAAACTGATCCTATGTCTCATCTGCTTTTTGTACATTGCCTGTTGCTCCAATGTGATGTTTTGCTGAGCAGTGTGTAAACCCTGTGTCACATCCTCCATAGGACAGAATGGTTTTGTCCATTTGTCCGCATTGGGAAGCAAGGGCGTTGTTGCTTCCTTGAACTTGTTCTCCTGAGCACCCCAACTTTCCTGAATGTTTGAAATTATGGATTGTGAGAGGTGCCTGTTAAGTAGCCACTGAATGGGGGGGTATAACCTTTTGTAGCTCTGACCCCTCCACTGACTGAAGTCAGAACTAAACTCCAGTCTCCACACAGCATTCCTGTGTGCCAGGTACCCAGGGCCGGCGCAACCCATTAGGCGACCTAGGCGGTCGCCTAGGGTGCTAACATTTGGGGGGCGGTGACTGCGGCGGCCGGATCTTCGGCCTCCCCGGTCGTCGGTATTTCGGGGGCGGGACCTTCCACCGCTTAGGGCAGCAAAAAAGCTGGTGGCGCTCCTGCAGGTACTTATTGCAGGGTGTCAATAGAAAACGTACTCTTCAGGGTGTGGGTGGGGGAGGGAACGGAGCAAACCAAGCCACTTGAAACACTAGGAACCAGGCAGCAAATAAGACGTGGTTGAGGTGCTTTCACATTTTCCTTAAAGTGAATGACGTGGTCAACCTGGAGAGGGTGAAATCTTCCATCTTGCTATACACGGCAGGGCCAGAGGCACTGGAGATCAGTGAGGCATACAAGCAGGAACATGAAGGGGACTCCAGACTGCTAGACAGTTATCTAGGGTTGCCAGTTTTGGTTGGACGTGTTCCTGGAGGTTTTATCACATGACATAGTCTTTAATTAAAGATTAATCTTCAATTCCTGGAGACTCCAGGACAATCCTCAGCAAAAATGTCACTTGTGCCAGGCCTTATTTTATTTTCGTATGGTAACTGTATTATTTGGGAAATATGGTAGTATGTGATCGTCGGTGAAGACTGCATTGCAATGCTTGTGCACAGAGGGGCAGTGGTGAAGATGTGTATGGTCTTAATGTTGTTATTTCTTGACTTTTGTATGTTTAGGCATGTAACCTTAATGTTATCTCAGAACAGGATAGATTCTGCGCTGCTTATGCGTCAGTTTAAAATTTACCAAAATAATGCACCTTACTTCGTATTTTTGTCGATGTATCTTAAAGTTGCTAAGAATCATAAATCTTCACTTAGGGTAGGGAACCCACGCTGTTGATTGATCTACTTTTGATACCGTGTAGAGGTTTGAAAGTAGGGTTTCCTTAATTACACAGGCATTAAATTAAAATCAGTCTATTCAACTCCCTAGTTGTATTTCTAATGTGCTCATCACTGTGGTATCTAGGCAGGTTGACGTTCTTCCAGGGAAGTTTAATTAAGGGATACTCCTGGAGAAGTCTCATTTTAGTGACCAGATTTGGTTATTAATGATTTCAGACAAGGTGAAAAGGGCAATATTTTATTCACCATTGATTTGGGTTTTTTTTAATTGTATTTGCTACAATGAACGGGCATATTTTAGTTTCTGATTACCTCTGTTTGGGTTTGCTGAACAAGCGGAGTTATATCCTCTAGTGAATAGTTAAGTGTTGGTGTGTATCTGTTGTTCAGTTTATTGCCCAGATCCTCATAAAATGTGGAAAAAATCTGTTTCTTTTCTTTCTTTTTTAATTCAGTGCAAACACTGCCAGATGCAGCTCACCCAGGTAAGTTGGTTGATTAGAACACATGGCTTTTTCAGTTGTGCAATTGCAATGATATATAAAACAGCACAACAAAACAGTCGCTTACTTTAGCAGCACTAAATGACTCACGTGATGTTAGATGCTCAGTGTATGGTCACTATTGAATCTTTTGTGGACTTAGAAGATCTGGTTTTAAATGTAAATGACTGGTAACTCAACTTTCTGAGGGCTGTCTTTGCTGTTTCTAATGTGCAGTGGCTTTAGGGAATGAGGGAAGGACTGCTTTACATAGGGAGACTGGGTTTAAATTTCAGTCCATGAATTCAATTTAAGACCCTTTATTGATCCTGGTTTCCCAGCTGGCTTTACTGGGTGGAAATACCTTTTCCCAACGGGGGACAAATACGTGGCAATGGGCTCTTTAATCTCACAGACGAAGGTCGGACAATATCCGGTGGCTAGAGGTTGAAACTACACAAATTCAGACCAGAAATAAGGTGTACGTTTTTTAACAGCGAGGATAATTAGCCATTGGAACAATTTACCAAGGGTTGTGGGGGGAAGTCTCCATCGCTGGCAATTTTAAAATCAAGATGTGATGTTTTTCTGAAAGATCTGCTCTAGGAAATCTTGTGGGGAAGTTCTGTGGCTTGTGTCAGACAGGAGGTCAGACTAGGTGAGCACAGTGCTGGCCTTGGAAGCTATGAATCTGCCGAGCGTGAGGATTGAGACCTCATCTCTCGTGTGTGTAATCTGTCACTTCCAGCTTGGATTACTGCAGTGTGCTCCACGCCAGCCTAACCTTGCAGACCGCTGGGCTGCTGCAGCTGCTGCAGAACATGGTTGGCCATAGAGAGTACATTACGCTAACAGTCCAAAGGCTGCACTAGCTTCCTGTTTGCCCCCAGGTGCAATTTCAGGTATTCATTTTGATCTTGAAATCTTTGCCGGGTTTAGGTCCTTGCAACCTGAGCTATCTGCCTCCCCTCATGTCCCATTGCCCTGGTGAGATCAGCTGAGGTGCTGTTACTAAGTCCTTAGATTTGAACAATTGAGGTTGGTAACCTCAAATTCACTTGAACCCCCTAGTCTGAGGTCACAAGTTTGCAGCCATTTATAGGGCAGCGTGCAAAGTATGTGTGTTCATTGTGGCTTTTGACTGTGATGGGTTACAGTAGAACCTTGGAGTTATGAACACCAGAGTTATGATCTGACCAGTCAACCACACACTTCACTTGGAACCAGAAAGTACACTATCAGGCAGCAGCAGAGACCAAAAAAAGGAAATACAATACAGTACTGTGTTAAATGTAAACTACTAAAAAAATTAAGGGAAAGCAGCATTTTTCTTCTGCATAGTAAAGTTTCAAAGCTGTATTAAGTCAGTGTTCAGTTGTAAACTTTTGAAAGAACCACCATAACGTTTTGTTCAGAGTTATGAACAACGTCCATTCCCAAGGAGTTCATAACTCAGAGGTTCTACTGTACTGGGTGTCCTTGTTTTTAGGGTTGTTCGGATAGTAACTTGAGGATGTTGCCTTTGTGTTCAGGTTTGTATTAGCTCAGGGAATAGCTGTAAATTCAGGGATTGCTTAATCAATGAATAAAATGCAAAGCACTACTGTTATATATGTGCTAAGTATTAGCACGTTTCATTGGCAGGAAGCATGTTTCAAACCCAGGCGGTGGCTTTTGTGTGTTTCCAGTGGTTCTGGGGAGTAGACGCTAGTTTCCTATACAGGAATGCATGGATTGGAGGCTTACCTCAGAGTGGATGGGCAAGACTAGCCTACAAAAACGTGCTGCGAGCTAGGTTAAAGCAGAGGTAGAGATTTCAGGTTTGCTTCATCGCTGTGTTATGCTAGTTCTGTGCCAGTGTAACCCTTCTGAAATCAGTGTAGTGACAGCTGTGTAAAACTGGAGTAGCAGTGATGAATCAGGCCCTGTATTTATTTGACTTAGAGCAGGCAAAGCCCAGCTTTATTAAGGTACTGGACAGGGTTCAGGCCTGGGTTCAAATCTGGGCTCTGCCACCAACTCTCTTTGTGACCTTGGGCAAATCCCTTAATCTCCCTATGCCCCAGCTCCCATCTGTAAAATGAGAATAATGATACTTGAGAGTCAAAAGGTGGTGGAAATTGTCTTATTTAGAGTTAAGCTTTTTTGAGGCAGGATTTGGTTAAATAATAACAGTGCCATGAGGAGCCACCAGGGAGAGCTAGAAGTGTCTTGGGAGTCTCTGACAATAGAGAGAGATCTATGGGATCAGACTTTTCTTTTATGACAGTGAAAAAAGTGTTTCTTAGTTAGGATTTACCCTGGAGATAATGTCATGTTAACATCTGAGCTGGCTGGGAAATTTTCAGCAAAACGATTTTGGTTGGAAAATACCCATTTGTTGAAGTAGAAACCTGTCTGATTCAACTAAACTTTCTCTGGAAGGTTTCCTGAGTTCGGGATGGAACTTAGAGAGAGAGAGAGAGAGACCCCATAATAGCCAAGAGCCTGGTGGTTTGGGCACTCACCTGGGATATGGGAGACCAGGTTCGAGACCCTGCTCTCTCTGATTTGGGGCAGGGTCTTGAACCTGGCATCCCGCATCTCAGGTGAGTGCCATAACCAGTGGGCTATTGGCTAGTCTCAGGTCTCTCTCGTTCTCTCATTTTTAAATGGGGAAAGATCTTAGTTTCATCCTGAGACGAAACCAAATGCCAGAATGGAATTCTCTTTTTCTGGCCAGCCCGAGTTAATCCTTTCCTACGATTCACTTGTGAAGGAGAAAACTCCTTCTTTCCCTGCATGGCTGGGAGGGAGAAGAGCACTTGCCCAGGTGCTGAGATACAGCAGCTCAGCTCTCTGGTTCTGTTCTTTGTGCCACAGCCTTCAAGGCCGCTGTCCTGATCCAAAGATGGTATCGACGCTATGTTGCCCGGCTAGAGATGCGCCGAAGGTGCACATGGAGAATTTTCCAATCCATAGAGTACTCCTGTGAGCAGGATCAGATCAAGGTACGGTGCTAAAGAGAAGGAGAGAATGGAAGCGTATGCCCTCTGTCGTTGTCGTCTTCATAATTCTTATCGGGCATAGTGCTTTGCAGACCCACACAATCCTTTCCCAGAGAGGAAGGCCCTGGGATGAGACTTTGGAGGCCTGGGTTCAATTCCCAATTGTGCAGCAGACTTTCTGGGCGGCCTTGGGCAAATCACTTACTTATCCTCTGTGCCTCTGTTCCCTTTCTGTACAATAGGGATAATACAACTCCTGTTGTCTGTTTAAATTGGAATCTTTTTAGAGCAGAGACTATGTGCATGTACAGGGCCTTGCACATGCCATCTTTTAGCATTTTATCTAAATCAAGTGGGCCCTGATTGGGTTGAGGCCTTTAGGAGCAACTGCAATAAAAATTGAGCGGTGATGAAGACAAAATACAAGACCCACTGTATGTGTGTGGGCGGAGGGGAATGGATGAGACGAGGGGAGGAGAAGAGTGACTGTAGGATCATGTGGTAGGTAGGTGAGTAATAGGCATACTTAGAGACTTCGACAATTGGGTTTTAAATATAGAGGAATTTTTTCGCAAGCTTCTCTGTTCCCCTGGCTTATGTTTGTTCTCTGTTCCACCTGAGTAGGCGTGAGCTGCATGACACTTCCTGCCAATGAGCAGGTGGCATCTCGAGGCTTTTGTGGTAGACATCTGAAAGCCGTTTCTGTGGCTGCTGGGCAGGGAAAGTTGTCTCCTGCAATGAAATAGCAGCTTCTGATCCACTGGCCTCCTCTGTTTATATTTCATACTTGGTATTAGTTAATGTCTGTTTTCTGGTAAGGTGTTGACATCCATGTGGCTTCCTAGCCCCCTTCTGGCTCGTTTCACGTTGACTTTCTTTTGCGTGTTAGTCCCCGTTCACTTGTATATGATGGAAGCCAGAAATACGTAATCTTGAAGCCATGGGGAGCAAATGAAATGAGACAGGATTGGGCGTAATTTGGTGTCACAGCTCCTCTGTGGGGGTTTATGAACACCAAGAGGGAAGCCACATGAGCTCTTATTGCTTAACTTGTCTCAGCATTTTCTCACCTGACTGCCTTTAAGCAGATATTTGCATCTTTTTCTTCAGCATGTGAGATAGTTTAGATCAGAGAAACGGTAGCTGAAGGGAAAATGGAAATCTGGATAGACCCTCAGAGAGGGATGCTATGGTTTCTTGTTTTCCGTACCCGCACCTGCAAACTCCCTTGAAATAAAACAAGGTGGAGTGAAGCAAAGGTAGTAAGGAAAGCCCCGTCTTTTGCATGCATGCCAGAAGCAGTTATAAGGTAATGCTCATCTTCAGCCTGATCCAAAGGCCATTGACATCAGTGGAAAGATTTGCACTGTCTTCACTGGGCATTGGATGAAGCCCTTTATTCTTGGTCTTCCAGGGCCAGATTTTTTTTACTGTTCTATACCCAACATGCTTCCAGTGGGCTGAACTCATCTGAAAATCTGGCTGTTAACAATTAGCATTAAATTGGAAAGATGGTTAATTAAATATTACTTGACACAATGTATAATTAATGAGTGGAACTCTCCACAGGGGGATATTTTGAGGCAAATGGCTCGGCCAGAGTAAAAAAAAGTTTGGTCTTTTATCGGAATAAGAGCAGCATCGGTAGTTTCATTGCCCAGGGTAGAAATGAGCAGGACTATCGATCCACCGGCTTCACAGTATAAATTAATAGCCACCTAGAGCTCAGGGAGAATTTCCCCCCATGGTGTAATATTGCGCAATTGGCTGCGTTTTGTGGGTTTTACATCTTCCACGGAATTATTTTACATTGGCCTCTATGTAGACCACTCTTCTGCTCCACAATGAGAACCGGTGTGACCGGATTTGCTGTGTATGCAAAGGAGGTTGTGGAGGCTCAGGTGAAGAGAGGAACTGTCTTCTGAAGAACACTGTAGAGCTTTTAAAGCTTTCGCTCGTGTCTTAGGGTGAATAACATGGCGCTCCTTCTTGTCTTCTACAGCTTCACAACTTCTTCAGCTACCTTATGGACCACTTCACACCAAGCAGCAGCAAAGAGAGTAAGCCTGTGTATTCCATACGTAGATATGGTACTTGTGGCCCTGAAAGCTGCATGCTCAGTGCAGGGGGTGGAGAGGGAGGTGGACTCACATGGCTCAGCGCTGACACTTCCAGCTGATTAAGGAGTGACCTCACGGGGATCTGAAGGGAGACCTGTCTAGATGTCAGATGCACCCATGACTACAATGCATGCGTTAGAGGGTTTATAACGCAGGCCTCAGGAGTTTGAAGTGGGGTCAGGAGTAAAATAGGGAGATCCCTTGGGGGCTCTGGAGCAGCCACGACCCCTCTAGAAGTTGGAAGGGGGAATAAAAGTACACATCCAGAATATTATTGTTATAAAGGAGCTTGTCATTGTCAGATGTTCCCTAACTACAATAATCAGGGTCCTGTGGATTCCCTGATTCTGCAGCTGCAGACTCTCCCCTTGGAGAACTTGCTCCAGAATCTTAATTTTCTTTAAAAATATTAAGTTTCTAGCCCTCATGCTTGTGGCGAGAACTGTAAAAATATGACTGCAAACCAATGCAGTGCTGCCTTCCTGAGTTGATAGATAGCCTGAAAACAATAGCTCTCAGGGGGTCTGGACTTCCCAGTTTTCCCCAGTGGTGTGTTAACTCTAACTATACAGGTAACATGTCAGCATTAACTATTTCACTGCTGATCACGTTAGCAAATACATCCAGCTGATGTGCTTATCCCATCATCTCAAAGTGCCTCTCTCGCTTAACTGGGTGTCCCAACTTTTTCTCCCCCAACAAATCCTACAACATGATTCTGTATTGTCACTACAAAATACATTTGACGATCTGGATACAGAGTAAAATACATTGACTATTATATCAAAATAAATAACACAAGAGACCCTGCCCTGCTTATACCATTCATTTTCACATTTAATTCAGTGGGGGGGGGGACGACAAAAAACTCACCACAGACTGGCTGCACCAAAATGCTGCAGAAATCAGGAGCGCTTTCAGAAATGCTTGCCACAGAGCATACTGGGCCTTGCCTACATCTAGTCCGAGTCATATCTAGAGCTGCTTGGAAATTTTTTGTTGACATATTTTATTTCTGTGTGAAATCCCATTTTTGTCAAAATTGAAACATTTAATAAAAAAGTTGATTTCAGTGAAAATTCCTGCGGAGAGAATTTTTTTTTTTTTCAAAATTTGAAAATAATTTCATTTTGGAAAATGTCCGAGTTTCCTTTCAGATGTCTGAATTTCATTTTGGAATTTCAAAATGAAAAGTTTCCAAAACCTCAAATTTTTCAGAATCTGTTTTATGGGAAATTTGAAAAATAGTTGTTTTCATTCTGTATTGGAATGAAATGAAATTTCAAAATGTCAAAATTTCTTCCATGCAGCAAATTCTGAGTTTTGACCAGGTTGAGTTCCCTCCTCTCCTCCTAATGCAGACACAATCTAGTTTCTAACCAGATTATATGCTTTCGAATCAAGACTAAAATGTTGAGAGGAGCCTACTGAAGGGTTGTTCTTGAATACCTCCCGGCCTGATGATCTTTAGCAAGTCATTGAAATTACACATTGGGCCCAATTACCCTTTTTTTTTTTTTTAAACTCCACCCAGGGGACTTCATTAGCCGCATGTTGACGGAGGAAGAAAGCTACAAAGACACAGAGCTGGAAAAACTCTGCGACTATGAATCTGTAGAGGTGCCAGATTCCTACACTGGACCCCATCTCTCCTTCCCACTGCTGCCTGATCATGCAACTGCCTTACTAGAAGCTTTCAAACAGAAACATGTAAGTACCCCTAAAGGGGGACTGTAGTGGTTCCCTCTCTTTGCACTGCCATGGAGGTGGGGTGGTAGAAGGATAATTCTAGGGGGTGATCTGCCTCTTTTTCCCCCCCAAATATGTGGTCAGGAATATGAAGGGGAAATTTTTGAGAACATCACCTTCTTTTGCTCCACAGACCCACAGAATCTACATGTGATTATTCTGAAGGCTGCTGACCAAAAAGACAACCAGAATGTTAGGAACTATTAGGAAAGGAATAGAAAACCAGACAGAAAATACCATATTGCCACTATATAAATCCATGGTGCACCCACATCTGGAGTAGTGTCCAGTTTTGGTCACCCCAGCTCAAAAGGGATGTAGTGGAACTGGAAAAGGTTCAGAGAAGGGCAACAAATATGATTAGCGGTATGGAACAGCTTCCATATAAGGAGAGATTAAATAGATTCGAGCAGCTCAGCTTGGAAAAGAGACAGCTAAGGGGGGATATGTTAGAGGTCTATAAAATCATGATTGGTGTGGGAAAAAAAATAACAAGTGTTATTTACCCTTTCCCAGAGTACAGAAACCAGGGGATACCCAATGAAATCAATAGGCAGCCGATTTAATATTGTACAAACCAGAGGAATTACTTTTTCACAGAGCATACAATTGTAGAATGCGTTGCCCTGGGAGGCTGTGATGGCCAAAAGTATAACTGGGATTAAAAAAAAAAATCAGGATAAATTCATGGATCATCAGTGGCTATTAGCCAAGGTAGACAAGGATGTAACCCCATGCTCAGGGTGACCCTAAACCTCTGACTGCCAGAAGGTGGGAGAAGACTGGGTGGATCTCTCCAGAATTGCTCTGTTGTTTACATTCCCCCTGAAGCCCTGATACTGGCCACTGTCATAGGCAGGATACTGGGCTAGATGGACCATTGGTTTGACCTGGTATGGCCGTCCTTATATTCTTACGTTCAAATTTTTGGCATGTTTAAATGGGCACTGCTCAGTTAAAATCAATAGAGTTGGATCCATTGACACCTGTAGAGACTTTGGCCGTACATATTTATCCCTGTTTGAACGGAGAGGTGAGCATCTGTTCCCCAGTGAAGCCCTCTTTGTCAACTGATCTAGGAGCAGCTTTGAAGGGAAATCCATTCTCCTTGGCTGGAAGATGGAAGCTGTTATGCGTATAAGAAGCACACGGGATCTTTCAGGGGAAAAGGCAATACACCGTGTTTATTGAAGATACAGCAATTAGCATATGCACTCAATCAGACCCCCACACACTGTCCTGCCAGTCGATGTTATCGTTACCAGTTCAGAGTCCGGATCAATTTAGTGGCCAGCTAGATTGATCACGGGTAGGTAGGAGCCGGGTTCTGTCGGTCGCGACACGATGCTCCGGGGAAGTCTTGGCAGGACGAACCCGAAGTTTCATGGCAAGGCACCCTGTTTATATAGTGATTTTCCTTCATTGGGACCAATGAGTTTTGCACCTCATGCTGTAATCAATTGTTATTTGACGAGTGTTTGTTTTTTTAAATTGTTTTTCTCATCCTTTATCTTGTTCTTTCATCAAGTCTCTCAGGGAGTTACCCCAGGCTGGTTTTGATCACAGCTATCTTGTCCCCATTGATAGGTGCCTGTCTCATCTTTAGAGTCGTCAATCTGCCCTCTTCTGACATTTCAATAGGGGTGTGTTGCAGCCTCCTGGCACCCTTGCGTCTGTCCTCGGTTCCTCCCTAGAACATCTGAATTGATTTACACAGAACATTTTGAACAGGAACATCAAGTTGCAAAGCAAAAGAAAAACAATCATCGCATTCTTTTACTTATTTTAAAGTGCTAAACCTACAACAAAGTGGTGACCCTAAAAGGTTTGTTTCTGCCTTGAAATCAGCCCAGACACAGATTGTGGCTGATGCATCTCTACCAATGGCCCATTAGGCCATTCCTTTCTGCTATTCAAAAAGGGTGGCTGGCAGGATATGGTCAAATCATACATCAATACATTTAATACATGCTACATTATTATTCTTTATCCTTCATTCTAAATTATACAAAATACAAACGTAAAATCCTACTACTACATGTTCCCCTTTTGACCCCCAAGAACAATTCTTGAGTGGGTCATATTTTATACAACTGTTTCATAGCAATATAGTGAGAGGCAATTCGAGCTTGTGGTTGTAATTTAACAAACATTCTTTTTGGCCAGCAGCACATACAACACATTCCTATCAAGCAAACACAGAACAATATTAACACAACTAGTAATGGGTGAAACATAATAGACAATGTGCCCTTAGAGGTCGGGGACCAGCCTTTAAAAACATCATACCAGTGATAGGCTGTCAATTCTTTTTCAGACCTAGCAATTTTTAGCATGTCTTCATTTGCATGTAATATTTGAATGACACGCTTCCCTATATCCCTCTGTGTTTATTGTAAAAACGGAGTCACCTTTGTTTCTGACAACAAGCGATCAATTAGATCGTGCCAATCCAGGCCAAGGGTAACAGAGAAATTAACCGGAGTGGCGGTTATAGTGAACTGTGCTTCATCTATCTTCGGTAAATAGTACGTGTGATTGCTAGTATATAATACACTACATTACATCTACATTCATCCACTGGGGGTTGGCTAATAACTTGCATCTTCCCAGAATACTGGTTCTCAGGATGTAACACACACACATTATCCATTGTACAAAACACGTGTCACATTTTCTAGTTCGTCCCATACACATGTTCCCAAGGATGTGTCCTTGCTGCATGGTTCTATGGTGACAGGTAGGGACAAGCACACCCATTTCTGAGGGCTTCACTCCATACACCCTTGGGTGTCCAATAATTTCTTCTCTTTCCCAGCCCACTGACCCATAACCCGGGGTAGCCAAAAGGATCCCATGGTCAATTTTGGGAGCGAGCTCACTTTCCATATTTCTGTCTCCACAGACTGTGGGTGAGCAATATTAACAATAATTTCACCTAATAACAAATCAGGCTGAACCATGCTGGAAACATATTGCATCCATTCATGTTTGTAGGTGTCAAACAAGGACCTCTTCCGTTGTTTTAAAAGATGCGTTAATACCTGAACATTCCCAGATATTACCCAAAACATTTCGTGTTCAAGTGAGGCTAAACTAAGAATTTGCATCTCAGTACATCCTATGGCCAAGGCAGTTTTATTCCCTACTTCTATTGGTTGTTTATACCGCAGCCAGGAGGTGGTGTTCAGCCACCACCACATATTCCATGTTGCTTTTTGGTTTCCCAGCCCTATTTGTACCAAATCCACAATAGTATCTGCCTGCTTGTGAATGAGACTAGCTTGCAGTTGTGACAAGGAACTTAACTTATTCTTAATTACCTCCAGGTCTACAGTATTCATAATTCCTGCTCCAAATCCAACTCCTCCTAATATGGTGTCTACTACATCTCGTTTTGCTCGGCCATTGGGGTGTTGATGTGTTTTTATCCAGGCCGTTATAATAGGAAGGGAGTAGGGTGAACATTTGGGTTCCAATTTAGACACGTTCAATTGAGTCCAATCCATACCAATGTTTATTTTTATTAATAGTGGATTTAACAAGACTTTTACTGGATCACTTTGAGTCACAAACAATTTTGGTTTCTTTATCTTAATTGGGATACCTCTTTTGAATGCATAGTTCCTGGTCCAGGTTCTGGTGCATGTGTCTGGGAACCATAGGCTCAATTTACTATGGGGTATTGGACAGTATCCCACAATAACTGTTAGTATTGTCCCTGTCTTAACAGGCTCATCCCATTGATATGGTAATCGTGGGTAGCTGGAACACCACGTGGTATCCCCATAGGGACCTTCTATTTTAACCCCCTATTTCCCAGTGGTTTGGTATTCCTGTGGTGTTTATAAGGTGAACCTTAAATCCCACTTCCCCTTTCCAGGGATATATATAGGTATTTCCTAAGGGTTTTAAGAGTTGGCTAGCATTATTATCGTACCATTCCATGAGGATCACAGGTAGGACTCCATGATTGGTTGGTGGGGAGTGAATTATTCCTTAAAGATTGGCTTATAAGGTGGGCTGCATCTTCTCCCATGATTGCTCTAATTATCTGGGCACTATACGTTCCCAGAGGCAGATAAAGCCAGACCTTACACTGGAGTCTCATTTTCTGTGGATTAAAATTGTGGTGGTTAAACAGCGCCTCGTGCTCAGGCACGATGTCCTTTTTTGCAAAGAATTCAAACATCAGTATTTATGTAAACAGTTTAATTTGTGAAACATGTACCCATTTCAGTTTTCCTCTTTTTCAATGCGGTATACCAATGGGCTAAGGCGGTCCACTATGGAGTAAGGGCCTATCCACTTTGATTCCAGTGATTGAACCTTTTTCCCATTTTAAGGTACATGACTTGGTCCCCTGTTTCCCACAGGGCTGCCTTTATGGGCCTTTGTTTCTGAATTTTGTTGTTCATGTGTGCGATGGCCTGATAAAACCAACCTCCAGTATAGGGTTAATCTTCTTGTAACTGTTTGAGCCATTGAAAATAATCATGCTGGGTTATATTAGAGCTCTCTTCTTGACCCTGTACTAGGTAACTAGGATCAATCATTAGGTGCATTGGATGTCCAAACAGAATTTGAAAGGGTTGAATTTTTGTCCTTAATCTATTACTGCTGCGGTAGGCAGCCAAAATCAGAGGCAGTTTATCTGGCCAGTTTTTTCCTGTGTGATTTACTACCTTCCAGAGTGCTTCCTTAATAGTGCGGTTCATGCGCTGTACTTGGCCTGAGGACTGAGGCCGGTATGGTATATGGAGCTTTTGTTTAGTTCCCAAGGCTTGTATCATTATTGTAAAGATTTCTCCTACAAAGGCTCCCCCATTGTCAGAGTCTATTATTTCAGGGGTGCCATATCTACATATCTAGATACTACCTCATTAAAGAACTTTTTGGCCAACACCCTGGTGCTGTTATTTTTAGTGGGAAATGCCTCCACCCATCCTGAAACGGAATCAGTTATTACCAATAAGTACTGGAATCCTTGGCAGGTTATCAATAAAATCAATTTGAACCCTGTGCCACGGCCCAAGCCTTCGTTGGTGCATCCTGTGTTGCCAGTGCGGAGGACAAGCCATGTCTTGAGTGCACCACACACAATTTCGCACCCACGTTTTAACATAATCTTCCATACACTCCCATTCTGCTACTTGCTTTAGCCTTCTTAAAGTCCCTTCCACTCCTTCATGCATAAACTGATAGGCTACAGTAAGTAACTCCTGTCTTTCTATTTTTCCTGGAACTCGGTTAGGGCTGTCTGTAGCGCCATCTGTTGGCTCAGATGTGTCAGCACAGACGTTCCTTTCTTGACCTCTGGTTACAACTGCTATGTCATGTTGTCGGGCTACTGTATCTACCCGGTTATTCCAGCTGGCCTGTTCCTATACTGTGTGCCTTTACATGTCACACCTTTAACTGTTGAGGGTTCTTTGTTACCCACTGGTAAATCCATTTCCATTCCTCTGAATATGCAATATCCTTTCCATCTGCTGCTTTCCACCCGTTCCTATACCAATCATGTATCCAAAACTGTATCCCCTTCACACAAAAATCACTGTCAGCATAAATATACACGGGCCGTGGGGAATTTTCATATTGCCTGAAAAACCTGATCAATTGCATGGCGCTCGGCATGCTGAGCCAATCCATGGTCTAAATGTCCCTGAATGACTTCCTCTTCTAAGTTAATGGCAGCGTATTTTACACATCTTTTCCCTTTTACTACCATTGCACTCCCGTCAGTAAACCAGACGTGCTTTTCTTGCCCCACGGGATCTAATTCTTACAGTGGGGGTGCCTCTACCAAGGCAATTCTTTGCTCCAGAGTGACCTCTGGACATTCATGCCGGTTCCCTTTTTCAATTAGGGCATGTGTTAGCATGTCCGGCTTGGACACCGGTTCTGTGGTCACCCCTCTATTAACTAAGATAAGCATCCATTGAGCCATTCGGGTGTTTGAGACTTTACCTGCCATCAATCTCCCTGACAAAATGTACTTGAGAGGAGTGTGGGGGCTTTGGATAGTAATAGGGGCCGTTCCCGTTGGGGGGCTCAAAAGATTGTACTGCACAGATGGCTGCTAGACACGTTCACAGGGGTCAAAATTTATTTCTGCTCCTTGTAATTTCCTGGATTCATATGCTACCGGCACTAGCTTTCCGTCTTCATTGGTTTGTAATAGTGTGGCAGCCAAGGCCATGTTATTAGCCGCCAAACGACTAACCAAAGGCTGTGATTCGTCAGGGAAATGCAGGGCTGTGAGAGCCTTCTGTTTTAGCCGGGGTAAAGCGGAGTCCTGCTCTTCTCCCCATTCCCATTTTGTCTTTTTCTTTAGCAGTTTCCACTATGGGTGAGTGATTTCAGCATATTTATAAATGTGTGGTCTAAGGAAATTGAATCCTCCTAGCAGAACACTTAAAGAGTGAGCGTCGGTAGGGGCCGGCATTTCTACCAGGGCCCTGACCTTCCTCTGATCTACCTGTCTCCCTTCTTGTCCAGCGACTGCGCCCATGTATGTAACCTGAGGTGGCACCAACCGAACCTTGTCTAAGGCTACTTTGAACCCCATTTCCTGACTTCGTGCCAAAACGTTTTCTGTTAGTGTTTGCGTTTGCGCCTCAGTTTCCCCAAATATCAAAATGTCATCTACATCTGAAAACACAAAAGGCCTTTCTTGTGGAGCCAACTGGCCTAGCATATCCACAACATGCCATAGCTGGGCTGTTGTGACATCCCTGGGGCAACCGACAAAAGGTCTATTGTTGCTCCTTTATTGTAAAGGCAAACTGATCTTGTGAGTCCGGATATAGGGGGATGGCAAAGAAACACTTGGCCAGATCAATAACTGAGAAATATTTAGATATGGCTTGCACTGTTTGTATGACCTGTGTTGTCATAGCCACAATAGGGGCCATAGGGAAGGTGCCCTTATTGATTCTTCTATCATCAATTGTTAAACGCCAGGACTGGCCGTCTGCCTTTACCACTGGCCACACGGGGGAGTTAAAGGGTGAATTCATTTTTCGAATGACTTCCTGTTGTTCTAATTCCTGGGTGGTTTGCAGCAACTGGGCCTCTGCCTCCCTCGGGTAGGAGTATTGTTTTTGGGGAGGCACAAATTCCCCAACAATCTTAACACAAGCATTAATTTTACTGCAGTCTGTTTTCTTTTGAGTCCATACTGAGGGGAATTTCAAGCACCGCTTTTCAGCTTGTTGAGCTGTAAGTGCGGCTACTGGTCTCTCTCCCCCTTTTGTTAACATAACATCCTGCCCGATTTTTCCTGAATGGGGACGGGGAATTTCTAACTTCCAAAGAGTATCTCTGGGCATATCAATCACCACATTGTTTTTGAACAACCAGGCAGATCCCAGAATAATTTCATCATCCATATCGGGAGTTTGGATCAAATCCCCTAATGTCTCGGACCCTTGCACCGAAAAGGGGACTTGGGTCCATTCCCACCTGAGACTAGGTTTCCCTTGAATGGATTTCAAAGCTACCTGTTTTAGTCTTTTTCCTGCTTTTGGGGTTGTTTGGATTAAGGATACAGCGGCTCCTGTATCTATTAAAGCTAGTGTAGGGTTATATCCACCCTGCTGAATGTACATACATGGCCGTCCCCCGGGATCCCAGGAGACTTTGCCTATGAACCTCCACCTCTGTGCCCCTACTCGTGGTGGGGGTTCCCCATTCAGCAGGCCCCTCTATTCTAGCCCCAGAAAAGGGAGTGGGTCCGGGAAGCATTGCAGCGAGGAAGAATGGGGTGGTACACTAGGAGTTACGCTAGCCACCTCTTTTGGTGGGGTTTGCAACCTCATGGCTTCCCTGACTAGTTCTAGTGTGGGGACCCCGTGCTGCATTAGTGTTCGCCAGGCTATCCGTCGAACCTCATTTTCCGTGTGCCCACCTCCCTCCTTTGATTCCTGGGAGGAGACTGTCTGATATTGCTGGAGGTCTGGGTATAACCAATCTCCTTGTCGCCCCAGTTTCCCCGTCCATGGGATCGTCCTCTAGTATATCCTCCCTGGGACCCCGTGATTCCCTTTGTGCTGCTCTCATTGGTGTACGTAACGGCTGGTTCTAATGCAGCTACGTAGGCAGCTCTCTCTTTTTTGATAGCGGGCTGTGGTCCCGAATGGGTAGTTATTTGTTGGACCAAACCTCTTAGTTCCCCTAGGGGAGCTGGGTGACCATCTTGCCAAATTCCAAGTCTCCCGGAGTAGTAGGGGTTAGGGAAGCAGCAGTCTCTTAAGGATTGTACGCTGAATGCCACTTTGTCCAGCGCTGTGGTGTTGCCCATCGGTGTTAAGCCGGCCATTATCTGCATCGGACCCCACCGGGTTAAATAATTCTTAGGGTCTTCATTGGGCTCTTGGGTTGCGGCTACGGCTTGTGCTATGAAATTGTGCCTGCCTATTTGCTCTCCAAAAAGTCCCATTAAAGTCAATATGCTATTGTTCTCGTCAACTCTAATCCTACCTAGGACCACCCCCGAATCTCTGAAGCCGCGCAGACGCCCATCAAGCGGCAGATTTCAATTGCGTTCAGCTCTTCCCTTATTGCGAGCAAAAACGCATTAGAACACCATCTGGAGAAATTCCGATAATCCCATCTCTTTTATTGTAACTTCTCTTAGGGTAGCCTTGAGAATGTCTAACGGGCTTTGTTTTCATTCTGAATCAGAATGAAAACAAATTTAAAACCCACCAAATTTCCTGTAATACTGAAAGTCCGGTTCCCGCCCAGCTCAGTTAACGAGGTGGTGGCTCCTTGAATAATGGCAGTTCTCTGCGACTTTCTCCCTCAAGAACAGTGCTGGCGTCTCTGCAAAGGCTTGGCTAGACAAACAGTGAGCATGCAGCGTGCATGTCCACTAGCCTGCTGTGCACTAAGTATCCAGGTGGTGCCTGCTGCTGTGCATTCAAAGTCCCATAATGAACTTTGATCTACTCCACTTTGGAATAGGGGCAGGTCAGTGCTCACTACGTGAGCAGGCAGGGTTCACTTGGACAATTAGTGCGCAGCAGGCTAGTGTGAGGTGGATTTACAACCTAGCTTGCCACGCACTAACTGTTCATCACGATGTGCTCTTAGTTCAGCAGCATTAAATAAATTCTAGATACATGTGCTGCACCTGGACACAAGGCAACACAAAGTCGCGCTTTCTGAGGGGAAGACTAAAAATAAGAAACTCCTGGAGGAGACTCTTTTCCTACCTGGAATATCTGGGCTGTGGCTCTGTGGAAGCGAGGCAGCAAGGTCTAGTGGATAGTGCGCTGGACTGGGAGTCAGGAGTCCTGGGTTCTATCGCCGGCTCTGTCACCAGACTGGCGTGTGACCTTGGGCGAGTCACTTCCCTTCTCTGTTGCTGTTTCTATCTCAGCCTGTGCCTGTCTTATCTGTTTAGTTTGTAAGCTCTTCCCGGCAGGGACTGTCTCTTCTGTGTATGTACCATGCCTAGCACAGCAGGGTCCTGATCTCTTGGAGCTTGTAGGTGGTAACCGGTAACCACTGGCACAGCTGCCCTGGTCCTGTGCCACAACACACTAGCTCTCGCTGTCTCTCGGAGGGCCAGATTTTCAAACATGTTCAGGCCCCAGCAGCTCCCATTGCTCTCAGTGAGAGGCGCTGTTCAAAATCTGGCCCCTAGCATACTCCCACGTAGAAGAATTGCAGCTTGTCCTTCCTAACTTGGCTACTGCGATCTCAGCTGGGCTGGCCCATGTATGCAGTCCAGGTCTCCTTTCCCCCTGGACCTCTCCTGGACACCCAGTTACCAGCAGTAGCACGTTAGGTGGCCCTTTCCATTTGGAAGTACCATGCTAATAGCTTGCCCAAGTCTGTTCACTTCTGCTCCCCGAACGCTGTCGTGTGGTGAACTTCCCACTCTAATTCCCTCGATTTCTCCCAGTAGCAGCTCCATGCTCATTATGTCTTAAAACTCCTGCACGAGACCAGGAGACATCTCATGCAGCTGCCAAACATCAATCATGTCTCCACCTGCTACAGCGAGGAGATCACCGTCTGCGGTAAGAGCGCTCGAAAGGAAACCCCCTCGAACATCCAGAACTAGCAGCCACGCACATGGATGGTTATTGTTCTTAAATGCAAAACAGTGTAGGCCAAATCCTGCCCTGTAATAGGTGTGTAACCCCAGTGAATGAAATGGTGGCGTATGTGTATAACAGAGTAGGATCTGGTGTTGTTACTTGTGGTGGTGTAGCTTCAAAATGGTATAGCTGGGTCTGTGTATGCAGTGGGACAGCAGGTTGGAGATCAGAGCTCACCTTTACCTGCTGCATTCAAGTCAAATCAAACCTAACCGCTCAGTCTAAGGAGCTTTGTCAGTTGTATTCTGTCCCTAGTCTAGATCAGTTCAGCCGCTGGAATATAAACAGAGCTGCCCTGAGGCTTGGCCTTGCACGCATATTGTGGTCAGTGAATCTAGTGATGCTAGTATTCAGGCTGCGATAGCTCTGCTGGAACAGTAGAAGTTGTAGAAGGGAAGGGGGCTTGGGTGGGGGTGGATGCATTTTAATAAATGCATCCCATAATGCTCCACGAGAGCAGTTCAGGGGAATCCAAACCATAAAACCCAGTTAATCATTAAGGAGAATGAACAAGGTTTGTGGTGCCTCCTAAAGAATTAGCGGCTTTATTTCATAGACCCAGTTTTTTACAGAAAGCGATTTAATGGCCGTCCCTTTTGTTAAGCGACAGCATGAACAGCTTTGCTTTGTTAAATATCAGGGAGGAGGAAAGCACGCCCTGAACTGAATGTCTTTTCGTGTGTTAGGAGACTTGCATGGCCGGCTGGATGACTTGTTTCTGATATTTTACAAGGTACGTACTGTGCTTTGCTAAGAGTTGCACTGGCCCGTCCTGCGGCCTTTACTCATGAGAGCAGTCCCACCGATTGCAGTGGAGTATTCTCCAGGATCAAGCTCTTAAAGCTGCCTTCTCACATTCAGCTCAGTGGGTTTGGCAATGGCTTCCCTAAACACAAGCTTATCCCTGGTTGTTATTCCAGCTATTGTTCTAGTTGTACGTTTTTCCCAAGACAACATCTGACTGTTTTCTTACCACTGGTTTGTATCCGTACGTGTAAAGTGATAGGAGGCTGCAGAGCAGATACTGGCCAAGACGTTCAGGTGGGGTAAATGGGTGCGGACATCAATTGAACTGCAGCCATTTGGCTCACCAGAGGAGTTGGCCAATCGTATCACCAACCTCCTTCTGCCTAATCCTTTACAGTACAGTTAGCATTATACTGGGTGAAATCCTGGCCTTAGAAAAGTCAAGGGGAGTTTGGTCATTAACACCAGTGGGGCCGGAATTTCACCATAGGGCACAATGACTAGATGACAATACTGGTTCTTTTCAGTTGCTGACGTGTATGATAAAGATGCTGTGAATCAGGGGAGCTGGAACACAGATATATGTATGGGTGGCGGTTCGGAGAACGCGGAGGGGAGGGATTTGCCGTCTGTCCCCTTCTCGCTCTGTGGCATTTGACTGTATTTCTTGTTTGTGTAGAACGGCCTTCCCTCCCCGGAGAAGTCCTATGTGTTCAACGGGGATTTTGTAGACCGAGGCAAACAGTCCGTTGAGATCTTGATCATTCTCTTTGCCTTTCTCTTGGTGTACCCGAAGGAGGTTCATCTGAACCGCGGAAACCACGAGGACCACATGGTCAACTTACGGTACGGGCGCAGACTGCGGGGGGTATTGGAGTGCAAGGTGCTTGTTACTAAACGGCTACTCAAAATCATCTCTTCTGTTTCCATCTAGCTATGGTTTCACCAAGGAGGTCATGCAAAAATACAAGGTAGGTTTGCTTTGAAATCTCACACTTTCTTTCCTGTGTCTGGCACACACTTCCTGGTGCTTCACCTCCTCCTTCCTGCCCTTGTCTTTCTAGGTGCATGGGAAGAAAATTCTGAAGATGCTCCAGAATGTCTTTTGCTGGCTGCCACTGGCCACCTTAATCGATCAGAAAGTCTTGATTCTACACGGCGGGGTGTCTGACATGACTGACCTGGAGTTGCTGGCCAAAATCCAAAGGCACAAGGTACATCTTCTTTGTGGACCCCTTGAAATACAAAGGCACTGCTGGTTTGTGATTGCGAGAGCTTGTTTATTTCTGGTATCCTGGCCAGAGAGAATAAAAACCCAGAGCATGGCTTTGTAGTGGAAGCATGTTTAGATCCCAGCTTGAAACGGACTGATTTGACTTAACTGAGCATGCGCACTAGGTGTAAAGGGGAGGAGAATAGAATAGCCTCTGGGTTTCTTTTCAGTGGGAAGAACGTGGTTTCTGTCCTGGGTTGTGATGGATTTTGACGTCGTTAAACGGATTGGCTGAGGCCGGCTCTGTGATCCAAAGGGGGTCCGTAATAAGGGTTAGGCCTCTGTCCCCTTGCTCATGGATTGTTTCCCTCGGTAGCACCAGTCCCCTTGCTCTGCACCCCCTGGCTTGTCATTTCTTTTTCAACACTGGGCTCGCGATGGTCTGGTGTGGGTAAGGCACTACAGTGAGACTCAGGAGATGGGAGTTCTAGTCCTGGCTCTGCCCTCGGAAGATTCCGGAGTGACCTTAGGCGAGTTACTTTCTCTCTGTGTGCCACGCTTCACCACACTTCCCTACTGTGCAGGGGTTTGGGGAGGGCAAATTTTCTTCTGAGGGATCCTGCTGTGGTAACACCCACAAGATCTCTCCCTGTAACCCCACGCCCAGCCAACCCACTCTCAGCTGCTGAAACGCTCCGTAAGCTCCGTTGTAGCTGATCAAATCCTTTCCACATCCCCTCCAGGAATCCCTGATCCCCCGCCTCCTTTAATCACTAAACCCTCCTCTTACCTTCCTCAAATCAAGTATCTTTTGCTTGTCCGGCTGCCAGCCCTTCCCACGGTCAGCTGGTTCGATTTCTATCCAGGTACTGACATGGGTCTCTTGATCATAGGATCTGAGCACCTCATAAGCATGTAAGGATTTTATCGTCACATCACCCCGTTCAACAGTGAGGCACTGCTCTCATTTTACATATGGGGAAACTGAGGCATGGGGGGGTGACTTGCCCAAGTTCACCCAGCAGGCAGTGGCAGAGCTGGGAATAGAATCCTGTCTCCACTAGACCATCCTTCCCAGCAGCGCTAGCTCGGTTACATCCTACTTTGCACAGGACTCCACAACAGTTAGGGCCAGACCAGTAAGAGAGTATGATTAATCCCAATTTAACAGAGGGGGAAACTGAGGCCTTGAGTGCTGCGTGACTTGGCCAAAGCCACAAAGGTGGAGTTCATGTTGGAGCCAAGGTCAGAACTTGGGAGCTCCTGGCCCCCAGGCTGGTGCCCGACCCACCCCTCTCTCTCTTTTTTTTCAGTTTGTTTCCGTGTTAAGGGGCAAAAAGAGAAAAGAGAAGAGTAGACACGTGGACTCCAAAGCGATAAACGGTGAGAGCCCTGTGGGTGTCGATCCTCCGAGGAGCAGTTCGTTCCCTGGCTCATGCCTCCCGCCTGGGCTAGCTAGCACTGCTAGCACGGCCAGCAGGACGGAGCTCTCCCAATGGGTCTGGCAGACGGTCCAAGAGGAGCTGGAGAAGTGCCGCAGGCAGGTGGGGTTCTGTGAGACTCCGGGAGACAAGGAGCTCACCTCCGCCAGCTCTGTCACCATGACCGAGTCAGAGCTGGAGTCCTGTGAAACAAGCGAGTCGAGCCAAGAAGAGTGGAAGCAGGTGAGTTCAACCTTGTTTCATTTGTGTCTTAGAGAAGACTGCACTAAGAATAATTTAACTTTTGAGGGAAATTAAAGTCCTGGGAACTCCTCTTCTCCTTTTAATATGTTGTCGCTCGTTTACTTGTCTCTTTGGGGCGGAGACCGTCTTTTTGTTCTGTGTTTGTACAGCGCCTGGCACAGTGGAGTCCTGGTTCATGATGGGTTCCTAGGTGTTATGGCTATAATAATAATACAGAGCATGGTTGTGTGTTGCCGCACCATGGTATTGGAAATCTCTCAGTGCTTAGAGGAAATGATACCTGTGGAATCTCAGATGCTCTGATGTGTGAAGTAAATGTTAAATGTTGACATTGCAGCGGCAACCACTGTACAGAGTCGTCGTGTGTGTTTGATCTCTCAGATTGTAGATATATTGTGGAGTGACCCTATGCCTCAGGAGGGCTGTAAAATGAATACGGTGCGAGGAGGCGGCTGCTACTTTGGGCCGGATGTGACAGAGAAGATTCTCCAGAAGCACAGTCTGCAGTTCCTGATCCGCTCTCATGAGTGCAAGCAGGAAGGCTATGAGTTCTGCCACAATCGAAAGGTAGCTGGATAGGCCCATGCTAGCGGGTCAGAGTTCAGGGTGTTGGAGTGCATTTCCGTACTATCACTTTGGGTTTCTTTTCAGTTTTGCTTTAACTCTGAATTTCTTGGAGTCTAATGGTGCTTTTGTTGATAACTACTGGACAAAATGCCTGTACGGTTTTTACCCTGAAGTTATTGATATGTGCTTTCCACCTTAAGTGAGTTTTTGGCCTGGGAATCTTGAACTAAGTTACGCTCCAGTTGGATCTGTCCCACAGACGCTGCCCCTGCACACAGACCAGGCATGCGTCTGCATTGAAAAGTGCTGTACTTAGCAAAATGGAATCCTATCCCCTTCGTTACATAATTACCCCTGGGGCTTCCAAACAGATGTTCTGTTCAAAACTGTTTGCAGTTATGCCAGGTTTGAAAACCGCAACTGTGTTTAACGAGCAGACACAGGACCAAATTCTGCTCTCAGATACACAACTGTAAATCCAGAGTGACTTCACTGACTTCAACAGAGTTAGTCTAGATTCATAGATGTATATCTGAGAGTAGAGTGTTGCCAAGAGAATTCAGAGGAGTCCAGTGACTTTAGCAGTGCACACACAGAATATGTATCATTTTCATTCTTCCCTTCCCAAACATTCTCCTTGAATTTCCTTTCCCCAAACAAGTTTTACTGCTCCTTGATCTGAGCTCTGATTGGTGAATGTGGATTATCTGTGTGTATGACTGTAAATGCCTGTCCATTTTTTTCACTTAGGTACTGACCATATTTTCTGCTTCAAACTATTATGAGATTGGCAGTAACAGAGGAGCCTATGTGAAACTGGGGCCGGATCTGATCCCTCATTTTGTGCAGTATCAAGCTAACAAGACAGCCCATACGTTAACTATGAGACAAAGGCAAGACTTTCTAGTTTAGTGTTATCAATGGCATAAAAATACAAGGCTATTATAGTGTTAGCCATGCTACTAAGAGATGCACTTTGGATCATCAAATTCTGCTTTAGAATTAAGACAGAATTGATTGATTAATCCAAAACCCCAGATATGAAAATTCCTGAAGTTTTGAGAAAGTTTGGATCTTGATGAATCAAGACTGGGTGTCTTTCTAAAAGATGTGCTTTAATACACACAGAAGTTATGTGCTTGGGACAGGAATTACTGGGTGAGGTTGTGTGTGTTATGCAGAAGATGATCATAAACTCTTAATCTTGGGTCCATTTCCAGTCTTCCCTTTTCAACACAAAGTGTAACTCTTGCCCTTTGCAAACTGTTTGGAAGTTTGACTCGATCACTTCAGAAGCTGATCATCCAGCATGTTGTAAGTGGCTGCTCTCATCTGAACAACTGAAACAAGTGCGGACAAACCATGCCTTTGTCGGTGAATTAGGAATAACACGTGTGTCTATTCCTGGGACCAAGTGAGGCTCCTGAACTGATTTCTAGTTCTGTGGGATGGTGGTGGGGAGTTTTGTAGCACTGGTCCTAGTGCCGTGATTCGTGTTGGGATGAGTTACACCAAAGCTATGTGGCAGGGTATCGTGCGTAATCTGATGTGTTGCAGTTTGGGTTTAACTTGCCTACAACAAATGCTCTACGCTCATGTGCGAGAGATGGGTATGGCCAGGGCGTGCGCGAATGGTCCGGCAGGGGCGGATGCTCCTCATCTCGCTCTCATGGGATGAGCTTTTTCAAAATCGCTGCCTCTCTTCTAGGATCAGCAGAGTGGAGGAGTCAGCCTTCCGCGCGCTCAGGGAGAAGCTCTTTGCTCACACATCGGACCTCATCTGTGCATTTAAGGGCTACGACCAGGATGAAACCGGTAAGACTAAGCAAAGAAAGAGCTTCATGTGCGCTAGCGGGCAGTGGGCAGGGTACCAGGTGGGTGTCCCTGGTGTAAGGGAGCAGACTGTCTACAGCAGCCGCACAGCACTGGCTGACAATGGACGTAAAGCAAGAGTGGGAAAACTTGGGACTTGGGGTCCAGGTTGCTGCTGTTTGTGTCTTGTTAACCCAGGCTTGTGTGGGTGGAAACTTTGCTCTTAGGATGGGGAAAGATACCATATCTGTGCCTGTAGTGACATCCTCTCACCCCCATGTCCGCTGATCTAGCTGCACCTTGACTGGAGGAATGTCACTGCAGTGCAGAGTTGTAGGGGTGAAAATAAGGCTCTTTGAGGTCCCACGTAGCCAGTGGACGATGTGACGATATAACCAAAGGATTACTAAATAAGCAACGCCATTCTTTCCTAAGTGCGATTTCAGCCTCCGGTTCCCCAGGTGCTTTCATGAGTGTCCCTTTCAAACAGGAACCATCACACTGAGTGACTGGGCAACTGCGGTGGAGTCAGTCTTGCATTTAGGGCTGCCCTGGCGGATGCTGAGGCCACAGCTGGTGCGCAGCACTGCAGGGGGCCTGCTGGAGTACAAATCCTGGCTGGATGACTTAGCTGTGGAACAACGGAGCAAAGAGGTAACGAACGGTGCAGCCATTCCTCAGAGCACAGTTGAAGGCTTGGACTTGACCACCAAACTGACAGGGCCTGCAGATCCCATACTGATGAGTGCATGAATGTGCTAGGAAAGCCTCGGTGGAGAATTTCTTCATGTAGGCCCCAATCCAAACCCCACTGAAATCGCTGGGAAGATGCCCATGGAGTGTTAGAGCAGGCCAATGAACATTTTATTCAAGTAGTTGTTAATTATGTATTTATTTCTATTCCTTTATTTGCTTAAACACCAGCCAGTTAATCCTTTAATCCTCACAACAATCCTGTGAGGTGGGTAGGAGTGGATTTGTGTTCCTTTTATTCGCATTTTTTTTGTTCGGGTTCTTTTCATGCCCCAGGAAGCCACTTAGGGGGCCTAAAATTAGAAAAGAAAAGAAAAACTAGAGCTGGGGACCCAACTGGCATATTTAGATCCAGATTTGGAATAAGCCCTAAAATGAGGTGTGTGGAAACCCAGCCCACTGTGAAATTCAGCCCTGGATCCCAGTTAGGATTTAGAGTTGCTGAAGTTCAGGGCTTTTCAGATCCCAGTTGTAGGGATGTGGCTCTGAGACATTGTGTTTACGTGTTGCTGGATTTAGGAATGGGCTCACCGCCAATCACTAAGATCGTAGCTGATTGCACTACAGTTAGCTCAACACAAACCCACGTGCACAGACATGCCCTCCTTCCGATACTGTTAAGTGCTTACAGATGGGGGTCACACTGGGATGCAGAGTTATACCCAGGAGGATCAAAATGTCAAGACAACTCCAAAAGATTTAGATCTGTCTACAGTTAAAATATTTAGTAAGGATTTCTAGGTGTTTCAGTTTGCAGCACAAGGTAACATGAAAGGGCGATTCTTTTTGAGTGTAGATGAATTGCTTTTATTTATGCAATACAACTCAAATCACTATACAAAAGCCTGAAATCCCAGCCTATGCTAGGACTGGGTAGTAAGTTTTAGCATAAAAGGAAATATGTTATATCTTCCAGCACATACAGTCAAGCTTGCTAGAAACCATTTATCGAAACAGATCCAACCTAGAGACCATCTTCAGGATCATAGATAGCGATCATTCAGGTAAGGATGTGTTTTCTTCCCTCCCCCTCTCTCTATTTTGTTCCATCTCACTTTTAGGCTCACACTCTTATGTTAAACCTGAGAAACTGGAGGCAGTTTGCTCAATGGTTAGAACAAGGTCTTGGGAACCAAAAATGGCCCTGTGGTTCAGCTGAGGATGTGTCTAGTTTACTCTAACTGTGGGTGAATCACTTCTTTGTGCTGTGAAAATGGGCTCACGTAGGCCTTCAGTGCAAAAGGGATATTACCTATGAGGATGACTTTATGGTTAAGGTACCCTATTGGGACCCAGGAGATCTGGGTTTTGTTCCCAGTTGTGCTATAGCTGCCTTCTGTAATGGCAAATTACTTAAGCTCCAATTATGCACCATTAAAGACAATGGTAGTTTGGTCAATGATTTCCAGGAGTGTAGGATCCAGATGTTAAACCTGTCTGTACATCAGTTTACCATCTGTAAAATGGGGATACTACCTGCCAGGATCTTCTGAAACTTAATTCAGTAAATGGTTGTAGTACACTGAGAGCATCAGATGAAAAGTGTGCTAGGAGTGTAGCGTAATATGACGTTATCCTGGGTAAGTTCACTAGAAAAGAATAAGGTATGTGTAACTGTTTGAAGTTACATTTGATCTATCCTATTAGTTAATCCCTTGGGGGGAGTGGACAGCTAGCCAGCATCAACAAGAAGGGGTGAAGATTCAGACTTGTGCTCAGATCCCCTGCAATACCTCTCCCATTATGTATGGCAAGCCCCAGCACCCCCAGTAAACAGAGCCATTTGAATTAATTTTTTATGCCACTAAATTATCTGTAAGAGGGCACTGTATCTTCTCCCTGCACTCCTGGTGCATCTCAGCTGTTTGGAGCTCCCTTTGTGCCCCAGTGCATTAAACCTTTGCTTCATTTTTGCCTATTATCATCTTTGCATTAGTAATATAACAATACTTTACTCTTCTCCAGCACTTTCTAAACATGTATTAATTTAGCCTCTACACCCAATTGAGAGATGGAGTATTGTCACCAGTTTATACATGGGGAAAATGAGGCACATGCAGTAAATGACTTCAACATCACGGAGTGTGTCTGAGCCAGGAACAAAACATGGCTATCCTGACGCTGCCGGAGCTGCACCATTACCTACCCCTGTGCTGCTGAAGGGGCAGGCTCAGAAGAGGGCTGCATAGGACTGTCACTAAACTGAATTGCAAGTTTCTTCCCTGCAGGGCTCATTTCATTTGAGGAATTCCACCAGACCTGGAAGCTATTCAGCTCCCACATGAACATTGAGCTCACAGATGACGGCATCCGTGACCTGGCCCGCAGCATAGATTTCAACAAGGATGGAAACATAGACTTCAACGAGTTCCTTGAGGCCTTCCGCCTCATTGAACACACTCACTGTGATGATAAAGCAGCAGAGATGGCTGGTAGTGGCTGCCCCAATAGCTAAGCAACAGTCTGAAATGCCACGTGCAATGCCTTTAGACTGTCTCCCGAGCTGCAGCAATTCTTCACAAACAAAGGACATGCCGGCAGCTCTGACAACTTGTGGGGAAGTAGAACTGAGTTACATTTTAGACATCTCAGTAGTGGCAGCAGTTACTACCCCTGTTCCATTTTTTGGCCAAATAGGTAAGTTGTACTTTAAAAGGAAATGGAGGGAATTTGTTGATCAAGTAGATATTTATTGATCAACAGTGGGGTTTTCTAACACTCTGCAAGGGTATAGTGTAGCCTGTTACAGAAATGTCAGCAAATGGGGGTAAACTATTACAGGATCATTAAAAAGTTTGTGAAGTGGAATTATTAGGAATAGCTGAAGTTGTTAAAGTATCTAATGAAGTACAAACCTAAGAACAGGGTCCAGGATCTTTGTTTTTTAAATAGACTTAAAGCCCAGAAGCAACCATTAACGATGAGCTAGAGTCTGACTTGTATAAGTCAGGCTATTGTGTGAAGTTTTTACTTCTGCATGATGCCCATCTCTCTTTTTTTTTAAATCCAGTCTTGCTTTAAAGACGTCAAGTGATGGAGAATCTACCACAGCCCTAGGATAAGACACTCCAGTTGTTAATCACCTTTCTAGTCTGAATTGGTTTAGCTTTAGCTACTGGATCTCTTTCTGCTAGAAAGAGTATCTATCTTGTAAGTTTAAGAGGTGCTGTACAGGTTCAGGTAATTGACCCATCACCACTACCTCGTGCTGCAGCCGAAAGTGAAAACTTTCACATAACAGTACATTGTTCAAATTTTTTTGCTGTTACAGTTGGAACAAATCAAGGGCTAGATTCACCCAACCTTCACAAATGTAGTACCTCAGTAGGATTTGCTGGGTAATGGTATTTACCAAGGAATTTTCACCTTGTTTGGGAACCCAAGAAAGACATCGGTCAGGTTTGAGTCATTTCTTATTATAAAAAAATTACTTCAAATGCTGTAGCTAGAGTAATGCAGGGGAAGAAGTCAGGCAAACTTAATTTCTTTACAGTATGATGCTTGCTAGATTTTTTTTCTAGCACAAATCTGCTGTATTTCTGGATTTGTTAGTCACAAGTGCCTTTTTACAATATTTGACAAATCTCCAAGTAACTATCTTTCCAAAGAATGAACAATGCTGTATGTAACTTATTACAAATAAAAAGGTAACCAGATAAAGGACACAGTTTAGACATTTTATTCTATTTTCTGAATAAGCAAAATGATATAAAAATATAGCCTTGCAGTCCAAAAAAAGTCACATTACACTAATAACACTAAATCCACAACTTCCCCCAGCAGATAAATATTAAACATGTTTACAGTGTAATGCACAAGTTTGCAACAGCCTAGTTGTTTTTGTATGCATAATTTTGTGATGTAGATTCCTTTCATGTTTTTACTCACTGCAAAAATGAAAACTTGAAAGGCAAGATTCCCTTAGCATTGCATGGAAGAACAATGCTGTTGTAAAAATGTACAATAGTACATAACGTTTGTAGTAGAACAGTATCTGAACAGATTCAGTTTCTTTTAAGAAAGCATAAACAGCTTTATAAGTCTAAACCTTCCAAAGGTCATCAAGTTTGAAAAGCATGGAAGAGGCTTTGCTAGTCCAAAAGATTACAGCAGATACCAAATTTCTGAAAGTCCTATACTAAGATATGCATTTTTTTTAACCTGGTCAGTTTCAGGCTTTGAAAGTGAACCCTGAAACAAAGTAATGCATTTAATACCCCCTAACAATGGGTTATGACAAGTCAACTGAAGATTCCTCCTCTGATAGGGATGCTCTCATTCAATCCATGTTCTATTAGTTTTATATCTTCCAGGTCATCTTTTATTATGCTAATCAAATGACTCAGGCCTTCTTGTTGCTGCTTCAAATGCTAGAATAATTAAAGAAAGAATGCAAGAAACACTTCAGCTGTAGCATTTATCACACAAAACTACAGGTCAGTCCACTACTTGATATTTAAAAGATCAAAACAGGTTTATCCTATTTAGAACCTCTCTACAATAACTTCAAGTTACTATAACAGCTAAGTTTACTTTTTGAAAACTAAACTACTTTACTTGTGCCAAGTATAATACATTTTCATTTTTACTACTGTCATGCCTGAAGGCCTGTGAGCTCCTTACCAAAAACATTAAACTATTTGAGTTCACTCAAGCTTAGAGCTGGTTGGAAAAATGCAGATTCAATTCAACTTTTGCCAAAACATAGCAAGTTCCAAGGTTGAGAGCACTGCTGCAGAGAGCATGCAAGACCCAGCTGAAGCTAATGGACTCTCAGCCCTAGGACCAGCCCCATTGGCTCTCTGGTGGACCAGGGAGCCTGAAGTCCTAGGACTGGTTTTCCAGGATCTGGACTGCTTGGGGTACCACAGGAAAACAACTTCACTGCACATCAGGATTGCAAAGAACAGAGCTCTTAGTCTAGAGGAAATTCAGCAACAGCATCAAGCAAATACTAAGTCCACTTGAGAGTCAAGAGGCATGCTGAAACTTCAATTCCAACACCACTGTTTTCCATCTTATTTATAAGCTGTGCACCCTCCACCCAAGCAGGCGGTTGTAGAATTCTGCATGCAGTTCTCCACAAGGAATACTTACTTGCTTGATTTCTTGTAAGAGATCTGCATCAATGTAGTACCTCTCTTCAGCCCTAACTGCTCCAAAATGATTTTGCATCCTGATCTGAGACATCAGTTCATTTAGTCGACCCTAAAAATAGATGGGACTCACATGTATTAGGATAGAAAAGCAGTTTCCCCCGGACATCCGTAGTCCTGAGAGAAAAATGTACCATCAGTCTTAAAAGTTTTAGCTCAGCTTCGTGCATTTTTTTTTTTTTTTTTTTTTTTTTGTTGGGGGTTTCTTTTTTTTTTTTAAATTTTTTATTTTTGTTTTTTCTTTTTTTTTTTTTTTTTTTTTAAGAGGGGTGGGGGATACAATACAGTAAATAAACAGTCTAATACTGTTCATAAAATTGCTTCAGTATTCGCTTGTAGTCTTTGACCTTGGAAGGGTTTTTTCAAGATTGGGTTTAGGACGTGCAAGTCTGCTTCCTCAAATCAACAGGGAAAATGTAAATGTTTTCTTTCATAGGAAGAATACTAACTACAAATAGTTTTAACCCGGCTTTGAGGAGGTTATTTTACAGCTCTATTGTAAGTACACCAAGAGCCCATAACTCACTCACCTTGAACTGAGTAGGTGCATTGAGTTCACACTGAATGGTGTCTAACTGTACACGAAGTTGTTCCTCATCAGCCTGAATGGCATAGCCACTTTTCCTTTGGATCTCTTGTTTAATTAACACCTGCAAAAGGAACCACTGAAGTTATGATCTTTGGAATGATAGAAAGAAAGGAACAGGAAATAATTTTTCTTTAACAGCTCTAAAAGTCTATTCTGTTGCCAATGGAACACACATCAGATTACTCAATGCAGCCAAGTGTTACCTGTAAGGTTCTATGAGAAAGATCCATTAGTTTCCTCTTGTACTGGGCTATTTTTGCCATGGTTGTGGTCTGATTTTTCTGCAGCTCACTAATATCTTCGGATATTATCTGAAAGAAAAACATGGTTGCAGTTGGAGGCCAGCCAAAAATTTAATTTCATTTTTTTTTTTAAATAAAGACCTTCTTACAAGCAGGAAAATACTAGTAGCAGCATTCATTTTCCCTGCCATTAGAGTTTCAAAACAATGATCAGTCCTAAAGAAAAAGGGGCCATATTTGAAAACACCTGCAAAGAGAATCATGTGATGAGTAGTTTATCATGTAAGAATGCCATCATACCCCATTGTTTAATAAGTGGGTCTGTTGCAGCCCATCTCAGAATGATGGCGATGGCAGTTTTGTATGCGATTAACTGAAAGTTTTAAATATTTATCCTGAACAGGAGAGCAGCCGAGGGGGCCTTATTCGGTCAGTACCCTTAACCCCTTCCCTGCTTCCCCTCAAAGTGAAAATATCTGTTCTGGTCAGGTAGTTACAGCACACCCATCACTACAGCATCAGTGCCAAATATACGCTCCCCAAACTGAGGCTGTGTCAGATGCTACGGCTAGAATTTTCAAGAGAGACCTAAAAGGTCTTAAGCACCACACTCATTGGGGGTCTGCGTGTGTGTCAGGAAGAGCGGGGGGCCTAATTTTGAGACACTTTTGAAAATGCCTGAACTAAGAAGAGTGGATTTTAGACTCTGTCATAGCCAAAAAGATAATTTTCTCTTTCAAGGGAGCAGATGAGAGAGAAGATATTCATACAAAGCAGAGAAGAGTTATTTCATAAGCCTGCCACTCCAACGTACAGCATGGTGTCAAATGTCTGTTAATCACATACAAGAGTCCTAATAGCTTCCGTAAGGGTAGTCTTGCAGTTCCTGTTTCAGCTTCAGTTAAGTCACCTACTCAAAGACATTCTAAATTCATAAATGCTCATAACTGCACAGATGCAAGCTTCTATGGGTACGTCTACACTGGAATAAAAGATGCAGGGCATGGCCGCAGCTGGCCCAGGTCAGCTGACTGACTCACAAGGCTCAGGCTGCCGGGCTAAAAATTGCTGTGTAGACATTCAGGCTCAGGTTGGAGTCTGGGACCCTCCCTCATTGTGGGGCCCCAAAGCTCAGACCCAAACATCTAAACAGCAATTTTACAGCTCCACAGTCCATGAGCCTGAGTCAGATGACCCAGGCCAGCCATGGGTGTTGAATTACGGTGTAGACATAGCCTATGTTTCTCTGTTATCTATGGTGGCAGCAGTTTAGAACTATTGCTAAGTGTTAATACTTCCCAGATTAGTTCTCAGCATTTGGAAGTCAGGATTTATAAGGCCATAAGAGTCACACTTTTCAAGTGCTAAATCCGTTGTCTGCAACCACGTTCAAAACGAATGGTGTCAAGAAGCGACCACTTACATCTAATCTGGTCTGATGCTGCTTAGTCATCTGGTCTTGGACCTT